TAATAAATAGAGTTGATAATAAAAGTTTAAATTAAAATCTATAAAATTAAATATTAATAAAAATATTATGATATAGTATTTTAAAAATTAAAAAGTAAATTTAAATATAAATAGTAATAATTAATTTAATAACATTTATTAAAGTAACTATATTTTAAAAATATTATTTTAATTTTTAATCTAAATTATAAAAATCAGGCTAATAAAAAAAAATATTAGTAATAAAGCATAATCATGAAAAAATTTGTTAACTAATTTGGCGCAAAAATCAAATTAATCAAGATATTGTGTTATTATGCACATAGTAAATTTTGATAAATTAAAAAATTTTAATTTGAAAAATAGAATTTAAAACACTAATACAATAAAAAAATATAAGAAATTAAAAAAATAGTTTAACATACATTTAAATTTTTAAAATTAATTATAAATTAAATTCGTATAATTAAATTTATTGTATAGAGCTCTGTCAATAAATAGAGAATATGACTTCTTTGTATTATTATAAATGATTATTATTATAAATGTTTTGCCTACCTATTATCAAATGTCAATTTTTAATTGAATTGCTTTAATTAAAAAGATTTAAAACATTAAAAAAATATTAGTAAAAAATAAAATATATTTTATTCTTAAAATTAAAACTTTAGATTGATTTTATCTTAATTGAGAAAAAGAATACTGATAAAAAGAAGAGAAGGAAGTTAAAAAAGAAGAAAAACAAATGGCAATAGAAGCAGCAAGTTTGAACCACATATTGATTTTATATATAAATTTTAAAGTAAAAATAGTTTTCAATACAATACTTAATTTAAATTTTAATGTAAAACTAATTGAATGTACTGCTTTATTATATTAAATTAGTGTATTATTAAAAATAGTAATTTTTATTAATTATATTATAATTTATAAAAGCTTTTATAAAATATTTATTATTATTTTTAACTTAATTGTAATAAATAGAGTTGATAATAAAAGTTTAAATTAAAATTTATAAAATTAAATAATAAAAATATTATGATATAATATTTTAAAAATTAAAAAGTAAATTTAAATATAAAAGTAATGATTAATTTAATAATATTTATCATATATTTATATATTTAATACAATAATTATATTTTAAAAATATTATTTTAATTTTTTAATCTAAATTATATAAATTGGGCTAATAAAAAACATATTAGTAGTAAAGAGCAATAATAAAGAAATTTGTTAATTGATATCATGCAAAAATCTTATTAATTACTAGATAGTATGATATGCGCAATGCGAATTTTGATAAATAAAAAAAATCATAACTTTGAAAAGAGAATTTAAAACATTAGCACAATTAAAAAATTATAATAAACTAAAGATAGTTTAATATACATTACATTTTTTAAAATCAAATCAAAATTAGTCATAAATTAAATTTGTATAGTTGAATTTATTGTCCAACTAGAAAGCTCTGTATTATTATAAATGATTTTCATTTTTCAAGGACTGATATGAATTCTGACAATAAACAAAGAATATGACTTATCTGTATTATTATAAATGATTTTCATTTTTTTAAGAACTGATATGAGCTCTGACAATAAACAGAGAATATGATTTATCTGTATTATTATAAATAATTTTTATTTTTTGAGGACTGATATGAACTCTGACAATAAACAGAGAATATGACTTATCTGTATTGTTATAAATGGTTTTAATTTTTCGAGAACTGATATGAGCTCTTACAATAAACAAATAATGACTTATCTGTATTATTATAAATACTTTTTATTTTTCGAGGACTGATATAAACTCTGACAATAAACAGAGAATATGACTTATCTGTATTATTATAAATAATTTTTATTTTTTGAGGACTGATATAATTCATCTATCTAATATAAAATGTCAACTTTTTTATTGAATTACTTTAATTAAAAAGATTTAAAATAATAATAAAAAATACTAATAAAGAATAAAATAAAAAATTAATTTAATATACATCACATTTTTTAAAATTAAATCAAAATTAATTATGAATTAACTTTGTATAGTTGAATTTATTGTGTAATCATGAAAAAATTTGTCAAGTGATTTAGCACAAAAATCAAATTAATCAAGAGATTGTGTTATTATGCACAATGTAAATTCTAATAAATTAAAAAATTTTAATTTGAAAAAGAGAATTTAAAACACTAATACAATGAAAAAAATTATAAAAAATTAAAAAATTAGTTTAACATGTATTTAAAATTTTTAAATTATTTTAAAATTAGTTATGAATTGAATTCGTATAATTGAATTTATTTTACGGAACTCTATCAATAAATAGGGAATATAACTTTTTTATATTATTTTAAATGATTGTTATTATAAATATTTTACCTACCTACTTTTAAATATCAATTTTTAATTGAATTATTTTAATTAAAAACATTTAAAAAATTTATTTTATTCTTAAAATTAAACCTTTAGATTGATTTTATCTTAATTGAAAAAAGGTATTGATAAGTAAGAGAATATAAAAGAAGAGAAGAAAGTTAAAGAAGAAGAAAAACAAATGGCAGCAAAAGAAGCAAGTTTAAAATACAGATCAATTATATATATATATATATATATATATATATATATATAAGTAAAAATAATTTTCAATATAATAATAAATTTAAATTTTAAAGTAAAAGTCATTTATTGTACTGTTTTATCATATTAAACTAGTGTATTATTAAAAATAGTAATTTTTATTAATTATATTATAATTTATAGAAGCTTTTATAAAATATTTATTATTATTTTGAACTTAATTTTAATAAATAGAGTTGATAATAAAAGTTTAAATTAAAATATATAAAATTAAATATTAATAAAAATATTATGATATAGTATTTTAAAAATTAAAAAGTAAATTTAAATATAAATAGTAATAATTAATTTAATAACATTTATTAAAGTAACTATATTTTAAAAATATTATTTTAATTTTTAATCTAAATTATAAAAATCAGGCTAATAAAAGAAATATATTAGTAATAAAGCATAATCATGAAAAAATTTGTTAACTAATTTGGCGCAAAAATCAAATTAATCAAGATATTGTGTTATTATGCACATAGTAAATTTTGATAAATTAAAAAATTTTAATTTGAAAAATAGAATTTAAAACACTAATACAATAAAAAAATATAAGAAATTAAAAAAAATAGTTTAACATACATTTAAACTTTTAAAATTAATTATAAATTAAATTCGTATAATTGAATTTATTATATAGAACTATGTCAATAAATAGAGAATATAACTTCTTTGTGTTATTATAAAAGATTGTTATTGTAAATGTTTTGCCTACCTATTATCAAATGTCAATTTTTAATTGAATTGCTTTAATTAAAAAGATTTAAAACATTAAAAAATATTAGTAAAAAATAAAATATATTTTATTCTTAAAATTAAAACTTTAGATTGATTTTATCTTAATTGAGAAAAAGAATACTAATAAAGAAGAGAAGGAAGTTAAAAAAAAAGAAAAACAAATGGCAGTAGAAGCAGCGAGCTTGAACCACATATTGATTTTATATATAAATTTTAAAGTAAAAATAATTTTCAATACAATACTAAATTTAAATTTTAATGTAAAACTAATTGAATGTTCTGCTTTATTATATTAAATTAGTGTATTATTAAAAATAGTAATTTTTATTAATTATATTATAATTTATAAAAGCTTTTATAAAATATTTATTATTATTTTTAACTTAATTGTAATAAATAGAGTTGATAATAAAAGTTTAAATTAAAATTTATAAAATTAAATAATAAAAATATTATGATATAATATTTTAAAAATTAAAAAGTAAATTTAAATATAAAAGTAATGATTAATTTAATAATATTTATCATATATTTCTATATTTAATACAATAATTATACTTTAAAAATATTATTTTAATTTTTTAATCTAAATTATATAAATTGGGCTAATAAAAAACATATTAGTAGTAAAGAGCAATAATAAAGAAATTTGTTAATTGATATCGTGCAAAAGTCTTATTAATCACTAGATAGTATATGCGCAATGCAAATTTTGATAAATAAAAAAATTATAACTTTGAAAAGAGAATTTAAAACATTAGCATAATTAAAAAATTATAATAAACTAAAGATAGTTTAATATACATTACATTTTTTAAAATCAAATCAAAATTAGTCATAAATTAAATTTGTATAGTTGAATTTATTGTCCAACTAGAAAGCTCTTCATTTTTTCAAAGACTGATATGAGCTCTGACAATAAACAGAGAATATGACTTATCTGTATTATTATAAATGATTTTCATTTTTTTGAGGACTGATATGAGCTCTGACAATAAACAAAGAATATGACTTATCTGTATTATTATAAATGATTTTTATTTTCGAGGACTGATATGAGCTCTGACAATAAACAGAGAATATGACTTATCTGTATTGTTATAAATGGTTTTATTTTTTCGAAAACTGATATGAGCTCTTAATGACTTATCTGTATTATGATAAATGATTTTTATTTTTCAAGGACTGATATAAACTCTGACAATAAATAGAGAATATGACTTATCTATATTATTATAAATGATTTTTATTTTTTGAGGACTGATATAATTCATCTATCTAATATAAAATGTCAACTTTTTTTTTATTGAATTACTTTAATTAAAAAGATTTAAAATAATAAAAAAAATACTAATAAAGAATAAAATAAAAAATTAATTTAATATACATCACATTTTTTAAAATTAAATCAAAATTAATTATGAATTAACTTTGTATAGTTGAATTTATTGTCAAACTAAAAAATTTTAAAAATAAATTTATTATAAATGATTTTTATTTTTTAAGACTGATATTATTTACTAATTATTATGAAATGTTAATTTTTAATTGAATTATTTTAATTAAAAAGATATAAAATAATAAAAAAATACTAATAAAAAATAAAAGATATTTTATTTCTAAAATTAAATCATTAAATTGGTTTTATAAAGATAATGATAAACAAGAGAACAGATGAGAAAAGAAGTAAGCTGAAGAAGAAAAAAGAATGGCAGCTGAAGGAGTGAGCTTGAACCACATATCTCGAGAGTCCACTGACATACAACGCCTTGCTCAATTCTATCAAGAGGTCATCACTGTTGCTCTCACTATCTTATTGGTTTTGTTTCTCTAATCACAATTACCACTGAATTATAACATAAAATACAGATTTTTGGGTTCGAACAAGTCGAAACCCCCGACTTCGGAGATTTCAAAGTTGTTTGGTTGCGCCTTCCCTCTTCTTCTCTCTATCTTCACCTCATCGAACGCAATCCAACCAACAACCTCCCTGAAGGTCCATGGAGTGCCACCTCACCCATCATTGACCCTTCCTTTCTTCCCAGAGGCCACCATCTTTGCTTCTCCGTCTCGAATTTCGAATCTGTTCTCCAAACACTCAAGGTACCCTTTTTATGTTGCCCCAATTAGATGATAATCAAATCATAGTAGCTGCAACAGTGTAAATTGAGTGGATGCATGAGCTTGTTTATGCAGGACAAGGGTATCGAGACTTTTCAGAGGTCCCTGCCTGATGGCAAGATCAAACAAGTTTTCTTTTTCGACCCTGAAGGTAAGTATTTTGTCTTTTAATTTCGACCTTTAAAATCTGATGGGTTGAATTGGTGCTTACTGTCTTTATGCCCGAATATTGCATTTTATTTGCAGGTAATGGTTTGGAGATAGCTAGCAGGGAAGACTCGTAGGTTGCTTTGCATAAGTTGGTATTAATAATAATGTACTTTTATCATTTAAGAACACCATACAAAAATATTTCCCCTAGCGCAGTTATGTTTTGTATTATTAATCCATGTACAAGTTCCGTCTTGTTTGTTCCTTAATTAGTCTTGTTTTCTTTGACTCGTTAATCATTAATGGTTTGTTGTTTTAATCAACATAAAATTTTAAGCAGCAATGCCAATATCTAGGTAAGCGTGTCTAATGCTTTGTCAAGCACCTGCTTTCTATTTGCACTTGATTCGTGTCTTCAGGCCTAGCTTCCTGAGCACTGACAGTTCAAGTAAATCTCCCTTAGGCAATGTCCATTGCTTTATTGATCTCACGTTCAATCTTCGGAATTAATAATCTCTTCTGGAACACAATGGCCAGGTTTAGAAAATGTGTCGTACCATTAGAAAACTTGTATCATCACTATGTCGCCTTATATTTCATACACATTATTATATGTATATAATCAATTCCTTTTGTTTTACTTGAACGGTGACACCGATGTATTAGCACGATTACAATTATTTCCACTTTAATAGAATGAATTGAAAAAAGAAATGAAGTTTCCACGAGACAAAACATAACATCACAAAATATATTATCTGGAACAGCTCGATGGGTTGAGCCTTCTGTGAGGTGATAAACAAATTATCATCCACGCCCGTCTCTTTTAGTGCCATGCCATCTTTAAATTTCCAATTAAAGAAGTTGATCAATGAAGCTAACATGAAGAGCATCATCATTAAGCCAAAGGCATGCCTGGGCGGGGCATAGTTCTGGTGTTTCACAACAATTTCTGATCCTTGGAACCACTTTGGATGAAACAAGTTTGGATTGTACCAAATGCTTGGATCCTGCCTATAGTCCATATATTGACTAACATAGGAGCCCTTGAGCACCCTTTGGGTTTGGGATGGTGTAATCACATATCTTCACTACAGTCTTAATGCCATGATGATGTTCACCTAACAAGAGATTTTACACACTCATTCTGCCCAAGTTGTGTATATTGAAGCGACAATTCAGAAGTCAACCATTTGACAAAGGAGCGAGTTTTTCGCTCTATGATAATTGTTCCATATCCCAAGAGTGACATCCACAGAGAGACATGGTCACTGTATCATATTATATGCGAAAGGAATGGAAGAATCACATATTTGACAGGGGGACCAGTTCTGATTACGCGGCTCAGTAATTGTTCTGAATTCATGAATGTGGAAGGCAATTGATTTGTGGTCTCGTCCATGAGATGAGAGAGGTAATAAACTAGGCATGATACATACAAGAAATCCACCCAGTTGTCTCAATCATCTTGGAGTTGTTTAGCTTTGCTTGTTCCAGCTTAAACACTAGAGAAGGAAAACGAAAGTAATCCACAATTCAACAAAATAATTAAAGAAAACAATCTGTAGTTGGTGATCGAGGTAGAAGATAGAGACAATATCATTCATTCCTAAAATTACCACAATCAATCTCAGCCTCTCACTCCCGATTCGCAAAGAAACCGAAAAACATTAAAAAAAAAAGCACAAAAATATGGAATTGGAGAATGAATGAAACCATAAACATGCAATTACAGGTAAAATTGTAAGTTATTTAGGTGAAAAACCCAAGAAGAGATTTTGGGGAAAACGGTGGAAAGTGGAGAAGAGAAAGAAGGGAAGAGTGTGAAAAGAAAAAATGAAGAAATAAGCATTGGAATGAATAGAAATGCATAGGGCAAATGGGTTAATGGAGCGAAGAAGGAGGCTCAGATGGAGGTTTTGTCAGAGAAGAGTGGATGAAGAGTGCGGTGCGATGGCTGCGTTAGACAGAATCACCTCGCCATCACACGTCTGTTCTTCTTTATTCACTCTCTCTGATTCAATTGCATAAAAAAACATCATCACTGCCTGCCTCACCGGAAGAAGAAGAAATGGAAGCTTATTGAGGACCCCGATGATGATGATGAAGAATGAGAAGAGAGGGAAAGAGTGTGTATATATATATATATATGTGGAGAGAGAGAGAGAGAGAGGAGAGGTAGGAAGAATCATCGGATTAGAAGAGAGAGTGTGCGCGTCGGTGGCTGCGTGAAACGCCTCGCCATGACACACAACCTCTGGAAGCTCTTCATCGCCATCCTCACCTTCTACCACTCCCTGCAACTCCAAAATTAATCCTAATTCTCTCTCTCTCTCTCTCTCCATATGGGCCTAATTCAGCATTTTTGGGCCTTGAGCCCTTTTTTCTAAAAAAAAATATATTGACCAACAATTGTATAATAATAATGACATTATTGAAAAGAAAAGAAAAAACCTCCTCAGTTTTTTTTTTGCTTTAAAATGTTTAGGTAAATATTGATTTTCCTTGATGAGTGCATAAAAATGTTCATACCACATTTGTTTGCTCAGTGGATTAGAGTCTAACAAAGGGAACAAACTAAAGCAATCCATTGTTTAAAGTTGAGTCGACAGGGGAATGAATCATAAGACTTGTTGAGTAAAACATGCTATTTTGTAATTGTCTCAATGGACACGATGACTAACAAAAGGTGAAAAATTGATAACCACTTAGTATTAATGTGGCCAATCTCGAATAACAAGTGTAGGAAATTTCAAACCCTATCTACTAATGTCATCCAAAGCTATCCTTCCAATGATTCGTAGTCCATTTCCTCCACAATGGTCATGTGTATAGTTTTTGCATTATACATATGGGAATTGACACCCTCTCCATAGAGATTATTTACAATGCGATGAATGAACTCACTAACGCGTCCTTCTTTGTTTCTAATTATGCTCGTTCATTTTATTTTTCTTATCTTGTTAATATATCATATTCGAAAATAAAATACTAAAAAGTGAAACTTATGTATTTTTTAAGTTTTTAATAAATTTTAATTAATATTAAAAAATAGAAAAAAAAAACGTATTATTAACCTTCCGAATATTAAAATAGGTCAATAAACAACTTTCACCACTATCCAATACACGACAAATTCAGGCAGAATTCCATATCGAGGAATGCTTCGAAAAATCAACGTGGCTTCTTCTGGGGCACTGCCATTCAACTTCACTTTGATTTTAGTGACTCATCAACATAACCAAAGACAAAGACATGCTCTAATTTAAGACAATTATTATATAAAAACAGTATTTATGCACATAAAAATAATATGATATTGAATCAGCTTCAATGAGTATTTTATATTTTTCAATTATTATTTTAGTGAATTTAAAAATTTTAATTAAATTAAATTTTAAAATAATATTACCTTTGTTCCTGTTGTACAATAATGGTAAGAATAGTTTGTGACATTGAATCGTGTTGAGTATTGACCGAATAACAAAACCTGGGAAACATAACAGACGTCACCAAGATGACATTCACCAAGTCATATATCGTGTGGAAAAAAAATAAATTTCCTTGAGTTATATGATTAAAACATGTTTTACTCATAAGACTAAACTGTAGTTAGAAGTAAATGTTTCAATTAAAATTTAGATATTTATAGAAATTATACTTTTTGACATATTTTTGGTGAAATGAGGAGAATAGAAAACACTAGTATTAGTCAAAATGGAAATAAATTTTTGAAATTTTTTAAAAAATGTCAGAGTCTGGCTTTAAGTTAAATAGTTAACATTTTGAGGAGATTTGATAAGTTTTATGAAGTAAGAAAAACATTTAAAATTAGTCATAAAGAAGTATCTTGACATGCTTTTCTAAAAATTTGTTGAAAGTTTGACAAAAATTATTTTAAAAACAATATTGAAGGATTTCAAGTGCAAAAAAGCATCCACATTTAAAGTGGCAAACGTGCTCCGAAAGATGATGAAAATATGTTGAAAACGTCAAATATATTTATGAGTTAAAGATCAATGCATGTGGCAAAAGACGCGGAGGATACACAAGAGTAGTTATAAATAAAATGCTTCAGATAGTTGCATTTAAATTTTACATGTTTTAGGCAAAAAAATTTCTAAGCATTTATAAATATTTTTTCAGAGTATAGAGGTTACAACTTTAATGTAAACATTTTCTCAAAATCTTTGCAAACTAAAGTTTTACGCATGATGATAAGTTTGTAATTAGGTCCTATTTTACAGCTCATATATTTATATTTGACCTATACTTTATTTGAAGTTTACACTAATTTATATATTAATTATGCAGTTTAGTGTAAAGATTCCGCAAGTAGACTTTAGGTGAGTTTTGAGCTCAAATTGATGGAAGATTAAAGTTTCACAGTAGGCAGCACGCCCAGACCCTTTCAAGCATAAGGTGTTTCAAACTTATGCACGGTCGTGCTTAAGGCCTTGCACAATCGTGCTCGTCTGCGAAAAATCTAATTATGAAGAGTCTTTAAAGTTTTCAAACCCTATTAAAAGGGGACCTCAGGCCTCGCGTGTGACACCATTTTTATCTTGGTTTTTTCTCTAGGATACATCTCATCTCGTCTCTCTTGCACGGGATCTTTGACACACTTTTGGCGGGACTTGGAGTTTTGAGTGATCATACTTGAAGACCGGAAACATATCTCACAGTCTAGTTTACTATTTCTTTTAATTATGGCTTTGGTTATGATTATTTTAGTTCTTTTTTTTAGCATGAGTAACTAAGTCCATAGCTAGGGCTATGGGAATTATTGTTCATGAATTTATGAGGTTTTGACGTTTGAATCTATATTTGATTTTCGTTTCGTGATAAAATTTTATCCTATTGCGCTTCTCTCTTAATCATAATTAATTATATTATCAGACGATCATACCTCAGTTAATTAATATATCTATAGGGTAAAACGAGACAAAGGATTAGGTGGACCAAACCAATCTTTCTCTTCTAATCGTTATTAAATTAACAAGTTCATAGGTTCTTTAAGCTTTCTTAAATTGATGTCTTGCATGACCATTGAAGATGTTAATTTAGAGAAAAGAATATTAATATTGCATGACTATTGGGTATTAATAGTATTCATATGAATGATTGGTAATCA